ACTTAATTTCATGACTGCTTTCAGGTGTTCAAGGAGGAAGAGGAGGCCATAAAGGTGGATCTGCATGAAGGCTGCGGGAGAACCAAGCTCTTCTGGCTCATGGCTCTGGCTGACTCAAAGACTATGAAGGCTATGGTGGAGTTCAGAGAGCACACAGGTAACACAGGAACAGAGATTATCATTGTCTCTCTGTGACTGCAGTCACAACTACAACATTTCCTCGAGCCTTCCTTTACCACATGTAAACCTATCCTGATGAATCTTAATATTTCTGTAGGTAAACCAGCCTCCAGCAGCTCTGATGCCTGCAGGTTCTGTGGAACGAGGAATGGCACTGAGTTGTCTGCAGTGGGAAGCGTCTGCTCAGACCCCGACTGTCAAGTACGCAACATCAACTATAAACAACAAAACTCAACCAAACCTTATTGTCTGCACATCTTTCTCTTACTCTTTGTCATATCTATTAAAACTATTGTTTTATTAAAAACTTGTTTTCATGTCAACAAATGCTCACAAAGAAACACATGCTTAAAGAACAATAACAAGAAAACAAAATTATTCCAAAATTATAAAAATCTGTCTATCATTCTATAAAAACTGTTTTTCTCTTTATTTGTTAAATTGAATTAGATTTAATTTATTATTTGCATCTATACTTAATTAGGATAGACAGATTTTGGTCTTCTCTTGGTGAGTGGTAAGATTGTTTGAGAATATTTATAAACCTTTATAGGATGAGTATGATTCCACTGCAACCTGATAGAACACAAGCATAAATAATTCTGTAACAAATAATGTATGAGGTGAAGAAAACACACACTCAAGAAGCATAATAAGCAATGTAAGGTTGTGTAGTAGAGTGCACATTATATGATATAGAAATAACAGAAGTTTCTCTTGTGTGTTCTCCTTTAGGAGTATTCTAAACTGGCGTGCAGTAAGACTCATGCATGTGGCCACCCCTGTGGAGGGGTTAAAAACGAGGAGACCTGCCTCCCATGTCTGCACGGCTGTGACAAGAGCACCGGCTGTCTGAAACAGGACGCAGACGACATGTGCATGATCTGCTTCACAGAAGCGCTCTCTGCTGCTCCTGCAGTACAGGTATTACTAAATATGTCTGTCTATGAGTTTCACCCCTGGATTCAGATTTGTCCTTGTTTCAACATTTTGATTCTTTGTTCTGTTCCCAGCTGGACTGCACTCACGTGTTCCACCTTCAGTGTACTCGCCGTGTTCTTGAAAATCGCTGGCTGGGTCCCCGAATCACGTTCGGGTTCATGTTGTGTCCAATTTGTAAGGTGAGTTGTTACCTGAGCTCGTCTGACTTAAGAGATTGATTTAGCAACAAAGAGGTTTAAAATGCTTTCCACCACGCCTCGAAGAGGATTGAGTTCAGTTTACTTATAAGCTTTGTTGAAAGGGCTCAGATTACTGTGACGCAGACCGTGACTTCTTTGTTTACTGTCGTCTTTGTGAAATGATGTTGGTGTATAAAGTGACTCAGCAGAACAAACTTTATGAACATGGCCGTCTGTTTTTCTTCAGAACAAAATCAATCACTCAGTGATCAAGGACCTACTCGACCCCATCAAGGAGCTCTATGAGGATGTGAGGAGAAAGGCCCTGATGAGGCTGGAGTATGAGGGTCTGCACAAGAGCGAGGCAATAACTACACCAGGAGCGCGATTCCACAACGACCCTGCAGGCTTTGCCATGAACAGATATGCATACTATGTCTGCTACAAGTGCAAGAAGGTGCTGTGTGAGCTAAAGAAGCAAAATGTGTGAAGTTACATGTTTGTGTGTAGAGAATTAATGACATCCATTATTCCCCCAGGCCTACTTTGGTGGAGAGGCTCGCTGTGATGCAGAGGCAGGACAGGGAGACGACTACGACCCCAGTGAGCTGATCTGTGGAGCCTGCTCAGATGTCTCCAGGGCACAGGTGGGTGTTAGATGACTGAACATCCTGGCTAGACGACAACTACTTTAAAGGCACAGTTCAGCATTTTTGGAAACACATTGAGGGTTAAATAAGAAAATTGATACCACTATTATTTCTGTTTACTAAATATGAAGCTTGATTCAATGGCGACTATCTTAGCTCAGAATAAAGACTGGAAACTAACCTGGCTTTCTCTCCCAAAATATGGAACTATTCCTTTAAAATGGTGCCAACATGTTTTTGATAAAACAAAATATAAACCCAACCCTGATGTTTCATTCGAACTCTCACCAGATGTGCTCGAAGCACGGCACAGACTTCCTGGAGTATAAATGCAGGTACTGCTGCTCGGTGGCCGTTTTCTTCTGCTTTGGCACTACACACTTCTGCAACGCTTGCCATGATGACTTCCAGAGGATGACCAGTGTCCCCAAGGAGGAGCTGCCCCATTGTCCTGCAGGTACACAATGATTCTAGTGACTGTATTGAATTATTCATGCACGCAGACACCAAAGTCACAATGAAATGGCTAATTGCATTGCTCTGCAAACTGAAGCTGTATATCCATGACTAGGAGAAACCAGCTAAATGTTACATGTGGTTTTATATAATGTGCCCCCAAATATTTAGCAATCCACTGTGACAATAACAATTTAAATACAATGATTGACTGCAAATAACAGACTGAGTTGAGATGTAATTATTGTCTCTTCTATCACAGGCCCTAAAGGCAAACAGCTGGAAGGTACCGAGTGCCCTTTGCATGTGGTTCACCCACCAACGGGGGAGGAGTTTGCCTTGGGCTGTGGGGTGTGCAGGAATGCCCACACCTTCTAAACAACATGGGACTTAAACTGAGAACCAGTTCGTCTACTGTGATTTCTGGCTGCTGCCGAGGCTCAGCCGCAAAGCTTGGCTCTTGCTCCGTCGAGTCTCCTGGACACTGGACCAGGTTTCTGCTCGATGCCAAGAGTCCTCAGGTCTGCCCCTCTACCTACATCAGTAACCGGGCCCTTCTACAAAGACAGGCTGTGGCTCCTTTGGAATTCAGAGAGACCTGAATGGTGGAGGGAAAAAAAGAACAACAGAATTTAAAAAACAAGATTTAAAAAAAAAAAGAAAAAAACTTGTGACGTGTTTGCATGCGGCCGTTGTATTCCCTCGGCTTCTATAGAAGTTGCACACCTCCTGAAGTGTAACAATACAAGATTAAACATTGAATATGAAATAAATTTGCTTAAAGGCAACTGTGGATCAGTGAGGGGGTTTAAAAAAAGGAACAGGCCCTATTCCCAGCTTCCTAACTATAAATTTAAAATATTGTTGTATGTAAACCTTTTTCGTAATCTTGTACAGTATCCTCCACTGTCAAGTGCATCGTGGGTTGACGGACAAAAAAAGACGAGTTGGTGGGTAAGACTGTTAAAAATATTTGGGGCGGAAAATAGTGTACGATTTATCTAATCTTGTATATAACGATACTATTCAAAAATAGCTGTATTCCGAAGTTGCTACTCTTCACTTCAGTTTTGTTTGATATTCTGGGTTATGTTTTGAGCCAGAAATTTTAATGAAGTGCAATACTGGGTGTGCCTCCTATTTTGCAGCTGTTTAACCTATGGAATGTATGTCAATAAAGCCACTGTACATTTTTATACAGTAGAGAGTCGTAATTCCCCCCCCCTTCTTAATGTCAGATCTCTTATGTTGTCTAGAAATGAGGAGGAGGAGCCTGGCACCCGCAGTGAACGATGGTGGATTTAAATCCCATTTACAACTCTGTTAAAAAAATAATGCAAAAAGAAAGTACCAAATCCTACGGTAATACAAAAACACCTCACAGTGAGACTGATTACAGCTGAATGATTTTAAGGGGGCCAGTCTTCACACCAAATAAAATTTGTGCACCTGTAATGCTTTTCCCCAAGTAGGAGGCCGGGGGACTGGGGGGTCGGGTGGGGGTCCGGGGTACAGAGTGTGGAAAAAAAGCAGCTGCTGTTATATAAAAAAGCTTAATACTTGTGAATCTGCTCTGTAATATCTGTGGTGGATGGAGTTGAATGGTAATAAACCAGGTTCTCTGTTTCACAAAGTATCCACTGTGTGGTTTCTTAATGAGAGGTCACATTTTCGTTTTTTCATTTATCCACCTGCTTGATGCTGCCAAATCAAGCTTAAACTATATATGGTTGATGTATACTTTTATTTTTTAGTAAATAAGAGTGTGACGATGCTGAAGAGCGACACTGAAACCGTGATACAAATGTCCATGATCTTGTTTTGTGATTGACGTCTGAACTGAATCAAGGATTTCGAGTCGGTGCAGCTAGATAGATAGATAGATAGATATGTACTTTATTGATCCATTAGGAAAATGATTGAAGTATTGAAAGAAGTTGAGGTGGAGCATGACTGAACTGAAAAGTGATATCTTGTTTTAAAGACTACGCTAAACGCTTTTTGTCTAATCATGAGGTTATTATCCTGAAAGTATTTATGTTATGTTGTGGAGTGGCCTAAAATAACTCCTGGTTTACAGTCTGTTTATCATCTCACGATCCCTCGGGGTTATCTTGTGTTCGCCTCATCCTCCACAAAGGGACAACTCGGGAATTGTTTAAGTCCTTTTTTGAGCAAAGATGACATTCACTGTCTCCAGCTTCTACAACATGAAGCGTTATTGTGTTTCTTTGTCATAACTTTGTGTCGCTTGATTTCTGACTCATAGATTCATATCAGAATAAAAGTAAATAATAAAAGCACAAATAAATGACAAAACACAGACCAAAAATATAGTGTGAGTCTTAATGACAACACAATTTTCTCTCTTTGTAATGATTAAATGATCAATCAGTGGAACAATCAGCGATCAAAACCTAAATATATGAATGAATATTGATATAATATCGATCAGCAGACAGGATGCATCATAAAGACACAAAAACATGCGCTCATCAAAAGTCTTTGAAACAACATGCACACTTTATTTTCACAGCGAGTGAGCCATCGCTCCGACGGACACGATCTTCACCAACAGCCATTTCGCATTGCCATTTCCCAGGATGCAGCGCGGCCATCACAACAACATTTCGCCATTTCGGAGGCAGCGGCTCTGCGGCGGAGGAACTAGGTCAGCCGAGGCGGAGGTGGTCACGTTCTTCCCCGGTGAACGACCCTCTCTGTCTCCCCCCCACCCCCGGTTGCTTCACCGTCGGGCGGCTCGGACACGGCGCTCCCATGCGCGTTCTGTGGCCGGTGCGGATGAGTTTCTCCAGCCCGGGCTGAAGCGTCGACCTGCCAGCTGTCGGATTTCCCTGCTAACGGCGAGCTAGCTGTAAACAACAAGGTACGATGTCCGCCTGCAGGAGCCGCGGTCCGGGTGTCTCAGCGGGGAACGAGACGTGAATGAACCGCGTGTTTGTGTTCTCGCACGGAGGCTGGTTTCTAGTTAGTGAGCGAATCAAGCTAACGGTGAATCCCTGCGTCGCTTTCTGTAATCCCGCTAACTCGCTTTAACCCAAACGTCGGTGCTGCTAAGCTAGCTGCACACCCACCCAGCTAATGATGCAAACCTACCACTTCACGTTTAATCTCAATTCACAGACCGCTGCACAGACAGATATACTGATAGATACAACATGGTCAAACACAAGAGCACAAGAATAATACAAGTGAGTCAACAATAAGTTCACTGCAGTGAAATGAAAGTCCAGCTAACAGAACTACTGCAAAGAGATGTGTATAAATGGAGATAACGACATATTGAAGAAGCAGGTGATTGAACGACACAAACAACCGAGGCAGAGTATTGAAGCCAAATATAAATACAGGTTTAAAGATATTTAACTGAAGCATAGCCTGTAAAATGATGGTACTGGAGATGTAAGTGTATTTAAAAACAGTGCAAGGAGTAAAACTTAAGACTACATATTTATATATAAAATCAAATAAAGACAAACATAGGCAGTAACAGTGACAGTCTGGCTGCTTGGTAACACGGTGAATGCGTTGATCAATCTCATGTCACCATAGAGTCTTATGGTCGTAGCTTGTTGTCTGAATCTTCTATAAATGAGTGGATGAGCAAATCTGAGGCAGATGCCGTAACACAGGTTAACTGAATGCTACTGCTAACTAAGCTGGTATTATCCCACAATGCTCAGTGATGATGCACAGAAGGCCCTGTCCAGTCAGATTCAGTGATCTACGCATGTAAAGAAGAGGGTTCACCGGGAGGTCACAGAGATCCAGCTGCACAGATTAGTCAGCTGACCAGTGGTTTAACAGCAAAGGTGGCTAAAGAGAAATCTGCCCTGCACATGTCTGCATGTTGATAAACAGCAGAGCAACTCTCACTCCTCCAGAGAGCCAGTGCAGGATGTGATCTCACTGTGTCAGCAATAATAACCCACTCCATCCACACAGAGAGGGATGTCAGAGGAGGCCTGCAGTGCATTAACCCCTCATCACACAGATGATTAGAGAGTTCAGCGGTGCCCAGACTGTAAACACCGGCCTGCAGAGATGTGGGGAAAAAGTGATACAGTCAGATGAGTCATGCTTCATCATATTCTCCACCAGCACACGTTGTCTACATTAATGTTTGGCCCTTTACAGTGAGGGGGGGGGGTCTGGTGGTTGTGCTATGGTGTCATTTTGTGGATGTTATTTAGTTCCACTTGTCCCCTATGATCACCTCCAGGCTATGACATGTCAGTCCTGATGGGAGTGGTCTTTTCCAGTGCGGCAGTGCCCCCCATCCATAGGGCGCACAGGAGCACAGAATTGTGTCATTGTGTAAAAATGCTGTGACTCATGTGCTGTGGCCTTTGCAGTCATTTGAAACATATGGACAGTTTTGGACAAACAGTAGACTGCGCTCTACTTCACCATCATAAAAAACAATTGAAAATATGTCTTGGAAGAATGATGTTCCGTAGCTCCAGTAGATCTACTGAGACGCACAATAATTGGTAATGTGCACTGAAACTGTTCTTGGATCTTAGGTGACAAATAAAAAATAAAAAAGTCTTATGTGTTTTAATTTGATGTTAAGGTTAACACATCATTCAAAATCAAGCATAATTAAACACTTTGATTTTATTATTCTGTCATTGAGTTATCATCATAATAATCTTTTATTTCACCCTTGTGCAATAATGTTGTAAACCATGTGTGTATTTGTAGCTAGGAGTTCTTATCTAAATGTGATTGTGTATATAGTGTGTATCACTCTTTTTTTCTATCAAGTTGCTGTAACAATTCACCAAGATAATAATTTTTTATGTAGTAAATAATTCCATTCCCGTCTGTGAAATTTAAAAGTTAAATGAATATAAAAAGGGTCAATATAACACATCATGTACATAAAGTGATGTCTCTTAACTTGTTTTGCCATGTTGGATTTTACCAAGCTGCTGCATCTCTATGTTTCAGGATGAAGCGGATAAAAGGAGCTGAGGAGGGCAGCAACGGCTCCTCTAGCAAAAGCCCACCAGAGGCGCGCAAGAAGGTTCGGAAGCAGTTGAGCGAGGATCCAGAGGCCGTGGCGGCCAGCGACTGGGCGCTGCTGCCTCAGGAGCTCCTGCTCCACATCTTCCAGTACCTTCCGCTACTGGACCGAGCGTATGCCTCTCAGGTGTGTCGGCGCTGGAACCAGGCGTTCCACATGCCTGAGCTGTGGAGATGCTTCGAATTCGAGCTCAACCAGCCGGCAAGCTCTTACCTGAAAGCCACACATCCAGATCTCATCAAGCAGATCATAAAGAGGCACTCCAACCACCTGCAGTATGTCAGCTTCAAGGTGAGACAGCAGCAGCACTTGTCTGTGCAGAAATATGCAACACAAGCGATGTCTTGAATCTTGGTTGGTGATTCTCCAGCACCATTTGGGTTTACTTAAACTGTGTTTTTATGTCCTTCACGTGTTTTTCTGTGTTTGTACTTGCCAGGTGGACAGTAGTACAGAGTCTGCAGAGGCTGCATGTGACATTCTTTCACAGTTGGTGAATTGCTCACTGAAGACCTTGGGGCTTATCTCTACAGCCAGACCAAGTTTCATGGAGGTTCCAAAGGTATAATTAACATAAACCCAATACTTTATGATGTCCTGTACTTCAGATTCAAAAGGGAAGTCAGTAGAATGTTTTTTAAAGCCTACATCCTCATGTTGTTATACAGTGATAATGCATTTTCATAGTGGTATTCTTAAAGTTTGGCTGAGTGTGTTTGTACAAAGGACAACTTTTGTATCCTCATCATATCTAAGGACGGTGCTGAAAAGCAGCGTCTGTTCTTGTGCACGACCAAGGACAAATTTGTAATTAGTTCCACAGACTCATTAGGACGCAGGATGTTACTTTCTTATTTTGTCACATTGCACACTGAGGTCACACGTGTGTATGAGTTGATGAACTTTTAACACACACTGGACATGTATATAGTTTTTGTCTCCCGATATTCTGTACATCTCAGTCTTTAGGACATTTTAAATCTGCAGAGCATCTGCAGAGCATCTGCATGCTCAAGAGATATCAGAGATGTCAGAAATTGCTGTACCTGGCTTTTCTCTGACATCTTGTCTAACCTCTTGCATTGAGTAGAGTTTGTTATGGTCATGGGTTACAGCCAGTGATTGGGGCATAAACTTGTTTCTTAATCAAGGGGACATTTAGATCAATAGAGTTGAATGGGAGAGAGGCAGATAGACAAAGTGCTGTGCAAATCAGGCTTCTGGTGCATTTTTGCCCAATTTCTAGATAAATAAAAATGTAACATTGATATCTTATATCTCATATCTGATCTTAGTTATTTATAATTCAGTGCATCATTTCCCCCCCTCCCACAGTCTCACTTCATCTCGGCTCTGACTGTGGTGTTCGTCAACTCCAAGTCGCTTTCCTCGCTGAAGATTGACGACACGCCAGTCGATGACCCGTCTCTGAAGGTGCTGGTGGCCAACAACAGTGACACCCTGAAACTGCTGAAGATGAGCAGCTGCCCTCACGTCTCCCCCGCAGGTCGGTCACAGTAAAGACTCCTATGATTCACTGCTCAACATAAGAAGCAGCTTTGTCCTTATTTTCTATTTTAGTGGCCAAACATTTTCAATCTATGCCTGCTTTGCACTCAGTCATTTGTTTTTAATTTCCTGCTTTGAGTCACAAGGCTTTTAAGTGTTTTCCACTTGGTGTAATTATCTCTCTGCTCTCATACAATGTTGTCAGTTCACGTGGTGGACGAGCAGACATCACATGACATATTATAAATGAACTATTGTGCGGCTTTCAAGTTTTCCCCTCTCACATGCATTTTCCCTGGAACTGTTTTTAATTGTCAGCTATGATAATGATGTTGGTTCAACTGCAACTTCTGGCAAATATTTTTAGGAATTCTGTCTTTTTTAGTTGGTTAAAAAAAGTTTGTTTGTGTTTTAAAACCACAATCTGTATTTTTAGGAATCCTGTGTGTGGCAGACCAGTGTCACGGGCTGAGAGAGCTAGCACTGAACTACCACCTCCTGAGTGACGAACTTCTGCTGGCCCTCTCCTCGGAGAAACACGTCCACCTGGAACACTTGCGTATTGATGTGGTGAGCGAGAACCCCGGCCAGCACTTCCACACCATCAAAAAGAGCAGCTGGGATGCCATGGTGCGGCACTCGCCCAAATTCAACCTGGTCATGTACTTCTTTCTCTATGAAGACGAGTTTGGACCTTTCTTCAACGAGGAAATCCCTGTCACGCACCTCTACTTCGGCCGCTCAGTCAGCAAGGAGGTCTTGGGCCGCGTTGGCCTCCACTGCCCCCGTCTGGTGGAGCTGGTGGTGTGCGCCAACGGCCTGCGCCCTCTAGACGAGGAGCTGATCCGCATCGCGAAGCACTGCACCCAGCTGTCGGCCATTGGCCTGGGGGAGTGCGAAGTCTCCTGCAGCGCGTTTGTGGAGTTTGTAAAGATGTGCGGCCGGAGGCTGTCCCAGCTCTCTATCATGGAGGAGGTGCTGATTCCCGATCACAGGTACTCCCTGGATGAGATTCACTGGGAGGTTTCAAAGCACCTGGGCCGGGTCTGGTTCCCAGACATGATGCCGACATGGTAAAGTAAATCCAGAGAGCAGTTCAGTACGTGAAGCATGTGGCGCAGAACACATGGCCTCCATGTTTGCACTGAAAAGCCTTTAAATGCTCAGCTGTAGTGGAATGTTTGGTGCCATCATGGAGGGCATAGACTTGCTGAACCCCTTTGTAGCGGAGAGTGCAGCTCAGGGGTATAGTGCGGCAGTCGACTGCTACACAATGTCATGTAGTGCAAACACCACAGTAATCTCTGCGTGGTAGTTTGAAAACAGACTGTGGAATCCTGCTTTTTCTATTGAGGAGACGGCACTCGACAGCCCAGTGCAGCGGGAAATATTTGACAAAAAAAGCAATTTTTAAACTGCAAACTGACATAATGTGGACATTGTAGCCTGGTTATGATAATCTATTTTCTGAGAGGTGCGTGTGTGTGTGTGCACGCGTGTGCTTTAATGTCTTTTGCAGTAATTAGGTACATGATTGCATGGTGTTACACTACCACTCTGCCTACCTAAATCCAGTCTGCGACAGCAACTCTGCACTCTAACACAATATGGCATTGGAGGATTTCCAAATGTCTGCAATGTTATTTGTATATAGGATGTGTCTGGAGGGGTCGATGGTGGGTTCACTTAGATTTGCAGAAACTGGGTCCTTCGCCTAATTTTACACAAATTTACAGGTCTTTCTATATTTGTGTTGTGAAGGTGAACAATGTCAATTGATGTCATTTATTTTATTGCAGATATTTTTTACCAGCAGTGTACATCAACTGGCTTGACAAAATGATATTCTGTTTTTAATAAGCTTATTTCCTAAGCACCTCACATGAATACCAAATAATCACTAGGACAAACCAAGTCCTTCTGCTTGACATCAAAAGCAATGAAACGTTGTTGTAATCAACTTGTCTTATTTTGACCCAGATCTAAATGCTGATTGTTGACACTGTGCTGGGATCAGAAACCAAGAACTATATATTGAAGTACTGAATCTGTAATTACTGATTTTTAAAAAGAAAAAGCAGATAAATAATTCTATGTAAATATAAACCCTGCACCGACACGTCTGAATCTTACTCAACAGATAGACGAGTCTCTGCAGCTATTTGCTCACAGTGCAATCCGAGAATGCAAAAGCAATCACATTGTCTTGCAGGTGCATTAAATGAATATATTTCCTATGTAAGTTTCATTTGTAACTTCTGCTATTTGCCTGCTTAAGCTCGAAACCTGTAGTGAATATCTGCCCTCCTTGTTAGCCCACACATTGCTCTGTGTCATGTTATCACATCGTACCTGCAGGAAAGGAAGCAGATCATTCACCCTTCTCATAACAAACACCGTCTCTCCAGATTTCCTTCGTGCTCCCGTTCCCCAAAAACATCCAAACCATTTCAGTAAATAGAGATTTGGCAAGTCAGATGAGTGAAACATTTTTTTTTCCTTTAAGAAGGAAGTCAAATGCATCTGTATATAAAACGCTGTGTGTTTGATTATTATGAATAGAAATGTACTTGTTTCTTTATTTCACCCTCTGTCTGGGTTGATGGATCTTTTTCATTCTATCACTAGAGAAGACAGGCTGTGTAATTTATTGATGAAGATACTGCTTTTGTGATTCATTTGTTTTTTTTTTTAGTTATACAGAAAGAAAGAAATCGTTATAACCAGCAGCAAGATTTTGGTTTTATTAGTTCCACTTCCATCTTTGTGGATTTGTTGCAGGCAGGTGGTTCAAAAGTTGTGACTTCACTACAAAACAGTTTTTTTTTTAATGTCATTAATCAATATAATGGAGATTAAAACAAAGATGTAGCAAACTCCATTTAGGGAATTTGACCCTGCACTCTTTATGCAGAGAGGGGCCATCATGTTAAGAATTTGTATAAAAGAGAAGTTTGTTTTGCAGCAGAAAAGCACTAAAGTTAACAGTCACCTGAAAAAATTTAAAACTTCAAAACCCTAGCTAGGATCTTCTTAAGGGATCTGTAGAAATGGGTGGAGGGCACTTCAAATTGCTTGCAAAATCCAACCTTTTTGACTTATGACAGTTTGTGTTACTAAGAGCTGCAAAGTTGAGTTTATGTTTTACAATTTGTAAAATGTAGCTTTTGTAAAATGTTGCGAGTAGTGGACAAACTTTTGGACGTCGCTATTTGCCTCTAGGATTTATGTTTGCTTTTTACAACTTCTGCCAGATTTCATTCCTTTTTTCTTATTCATCATTTTCATTTAGCCACTTCATGAAGCCAAACAGTAACACAAACTAAGGCACTTCATTTGCAGGATAACTTATATAGTTTATCAATAGCATGGGTCTCTGGTCACTGCAGTAGATACCTGTGCTGAGTGTCTGTGCTTTCGTACATTAGCATCTGAACGGTACAGTAACATATCGCCTGATTATTTTCTATTAATTTGTGCAGTGTATTTAACAATGGTTATGCCAGCAGCTTCAATCTGAGGTTGTGTCTCATTAACGCTTCTGGTCAGAATCTTTTTTCTGTCTTGATTTGATTTTATCGGAAAAATTCAGTTGAATAAGTTAAACACGTGAATGCTGATCAGAAAGTTTATTTATCTTTCATGATAAAGATGCAGGTTGACAGTAATTCCTCCGGTAAGTTTTATTTGGAATAAACTGGTGTTGATGATGCTGTCCTTTAGTGTTGTATGGCAAATGCTTTGTCTACTTTGCTTTACTGGTCACCTGTCTTGAAATTACAAATGTTTTGGATATGTGATCCTGTACTGGTAATAAAATTTCTGAATGTACTCACTGTCATTTCATTATTTTCCAAACACTGAAGCACATCATAGTGCTAATCATAATTAGCTCGTGCTACATAAAATGTGTGTGAGTAAGTCAGAGGTCTGTTGTATGAAGAAGAAAGAAGTCTGTGAGGCCTCGAGGATACAAAAAAGTGCATTATGGTGAGAAATACTGGACCACTGAGCAAAATCAGCTGGTGAACATCATTAATCTTCACCATCAAAGACATTTCCTTTGGCTGTCGACAATTATTTCAATAATCATTTAAATACTTTATCAAAATACAAAAGCAACATTCACTGGTTTCTGCTTCTCAAATGTGCCATTTTCCAGCTTTTTAATTCTTGCTCATATGTCTGCACTTTAGATGATCGGTTGATCGACTGATTCGTTCATGCAGGTGGGACGTTAAGGCAAAGGCACCTCTTCGTATGTAATCTGCACATAAGGAGGTTTCATTGGCAGATGCCAGTACTCAAAGTTGTAGTAGAGGTAAAAGCTCTTGTCCAGCACAACCTTTTTATACGCCTCCAGTAGACTGATGGCGAAGTCTATAAACGACTGGTGCGGCCGGAACGTGTGGTAAAATTTACGGATGTCCGTTGCCAGGTTCTTCAGAGCGGGCTGACCGAATATGGCGCTGTCGTTGCCCAGGTAACTGGGCTCTCCGCTGTACAGGTAGATCTTGGTGTAGTTGGTCTGTGATCGACTGGAGAGTTTGGCTCCGAGCTCCGAGAGTTTCCTGTACGTGCGGTGGACAAACTGGGAGCAGTCGTAAGACTCGAACCACACTGTGGCATTAGGTCCGGGGTCAGAGCGAACTGTCCACGTCTCGTAGTAGATCCCGGTCTCGTTGTCGTCTTGGACCCACTGAGCCATGTCATTGAACTGGTTCCCTGGAGAAAGAAGAAACAATGAGTATCGAGCAAAAGCACCAATAAATATCACTTTGTGTTTGTACCACAGAACCAGAATTGCATTCGAAGGTTTAATTATCCTTTTATCTTTTAATTTGATATTGAAATTGCTTTTTTCTGGATCAAGAGAGGTCTTCTAGCTGTTCCCAGAATGCAATGGGGTGAAGTGGGCATGGGAATCACCACATGTTTTGGGCTGTGGGAATTTTGCATCTCGATGCCAATGAAACATCAAATCTAGAACCTTCTTGCTAATAGAGAGCTGAGCTATTGTGCCTCCAAAAAGTAAAAAAAGAAATAATGTAAAATGCAAACCAAGGTGTTAGTCCATCTTTCAATACTCTGACTTCTCTGCCCTGTATTTGTATTCTGCCCCAAACATGAAATAAAAAATACAGTTTTGATTCTTCAAAAAGTAGCTTGAGAGTTGGGAAGTGTTTAACAAGTAAAATCTCAAATATGACTAAATTATGCACTTTCTGGGGACTACTTTCAGCTGTGGATTCATAAATAATCGAAAACACATCCGCTCGTATTCATATGTGCTCACCAGTTATTGCTCCTATTTTTTCCAATGTGCCGTTTTGTGACCAGTGTGGGTCGTCGATGCCGTCGAAGAAGCAGGCGGCTCCCTGGTTGCACCAGAAAGGAGCGTGAACGTCGGGTCGGAGGTGAGGGAAGGTGCAGTTTCCCAGCTGAAACAGCTCATACCACTCCATGGTGTAGTTGGCCCCCGTCTCTGAGCTGCTGAACCCAATAGCATCGTGCATGATATGCTGTGAACCAATCAGAAACATTATACTGGCTCTATGAGAGGAGGAAGTGTGAACAGTTTTAAATATAGTTGTACATTTGAGTTTTTTGCACTTTCTTTCTGCACAGATGTTTCCAGGATTTGTTGGGTTATTTTTTGTAGATTGTTTAAAAAATATATATATATTTGCACTAATGTTGCTTGTCATTTAAGGTTTTAAATGATGTTCTGCAGCATCACCAGCTTGTCTGAGGATCGACGTACTTACAAATTTCCCCAGCAGATCTCCGAACTTGAATTCCCACACAGGCGTTTGCAGTCTATACACTGAGATCACGTCAGTGTCGCTCATGTAGGGAATCTGTCCGTCACGGTCTCCGGTGGGACAGAAGGGGAAGAGAGCTTCGCAGTAGGAGTCGGCAGCAGGACGACGATCAAACCGTCTGAGGAGGACACGAACCGCATCACAGGTTTTATACGAGTACAGAGGCTTTTCTTTTACATGGTTATGATCACATGAGGTCTTTCCTCATGATAACAATAAAAGCATAATTAATTTTATTTACAATTAAACTTTATTTCTAAACATTATATCGATGAATCCCCAGAGTTCAACAACCTCACAACACCTAGTTAAAGTAACGTGTGGTGGCGGTGGTCCATGAAAATGTTTACAAAAGTCATTGTTAGTGTTCAGATTAGTTGTTTCCACTTTTTTGAAATGTTTATGATTGTACCTTCGTTTCTTCCACAGGTAAAACCTGTTCATACAAAACAAGTATTATAAACTTCACCTGTACTACTCTTGTTGCAGAAAATACTTTTTTTTTTTAGTTTGAATTACTTGAATTTAGTTTGTAGTTAAGATTCAACTCAGATCTACTTTTAATTACTTAGTGAACGTGACTGCACAGATTCAAATGTCTGGTTTGCAGCTAAATAAACGTGAAACACATGAAACACCAGTAAGTTCAATGATCTCCTGTCGTCGGAACCTGAATTTAACCATCAGTCACATGACGTCACGCCACACAGAGGAACGCGCTGCAGTAATGGAGGAGTGTCGGTACCTGTACGGAACCGGCCACCGCTGCCGGACATTGTCCCCGAGCTCAGCCCCGACATGAAGAAACAGCAGCAGGTGTAACAGACACACAACCGACCCAGCGTGAGACATGTTGTTTACTACAGACACGACCGACTCACTTCCCATGATCCTTCTCTCTCACTTCCGCCTCCCCGCTCACGTGCTTTTGTTGATCACACGACATCACATGATCCGGAAGAAACTAAAATGTGAAAATACTAAGAAACAAACAGGGAAATAAATAAATACAAATAAAACAGACTTCATTATTTCATTCCGAATCTATTTTAATT